CCACTCCAGTCCTTTTCCAGGAGCCTGTCTGACCCAGTTCATCCAGTGGCTACTAAGTGAAAATCCAGAGGCTGTACAGGTCAGTCTGTGAGATTCTCCAGGCCTTTTAATCACTGGTTCAGATTCTGTCAGAGTCTGACCATCAACACCTGTCAAGACAAAACAAAAGTGTGAAATATGTCAGTCACACAATTAAGAACTATGTCTAATCAAGATCAGGTAAAAGCTTCACCTGCCCAGCAGATAGTTAAAAGCAGCAGTCCTGTCCTATAGTCCATCATGTTAAACTGTGTGTCCACTGTTCTCTGTCCTCCTCTCTGCAGTCAGATAAGTAGAGATGGAAGATATCTGAGTTTTGCATTGACTCCTCCTTTTTAAACGTGGAGTGTCTTCTGTTTAATCTCTCCCCAAAATGTATTTGATTATATGAATTTCCTATGTCTGACATATTTTTTATTCATTTTTTATCTTTTTATAAAGAATCATCTCAATGTTTCTCCTGCAGGTTGATTATTTTTTCTTTTGATTTTGCGCACCATAATAAGAACAGAATTTTTAAACATTTCTTTGAGGGAAATTCTGACATCCAACACTTGAAAGTCGTTTGCTGTGTTTCTGTTCTGTTTGGGATATTTTCCTTTTTCCTCTTCCTTTTTTTCTTTTTTGTGTGTTTTGTTTGTTTAAATGAATCAAAATGAAGACAAATGTTCACGTGTTGTTCTTCATCACACACAAAGAGAAGGTGGAACTAATATATCTGACAAACACAATTTAGATTGGCAATGAAAACACACTTTTCTATATTTTGAATAATTAACACTGCTATGAAGTTGGCTAAATACTGAGCCAGTCACTAACACAGTTATAATTCTAATATCAACTTAAAATAACTAAAAATGATGATATTATGGAAGAAAACTGACTTTTGACTGATCCATTTCTACTATAGTTAGATGATGAGCTTTAAAACCAAGTTAAGTTGTGACCTTAATTTGTCATCACTTAAAGGGTTATTTATATAATGCTGCATCAGTTCTTGTGATTGTGATGTCAGAATATCT